TATGAAAAGGCAATATTTATGAATTATGGGCAGGCAAGAAGGAGAAGTATTTCATGAAAAGAGCATAAAAATATTTTTAATAAAGCCATAGAGGGAAATTTCCCAAATCTAGGGAAAGAGAAGCTCATCCAGATACAAGAGGCACACAGAAACATCAAATAGGACCAGCAAGGTACTCCCCATATCCTATTGTAGTTAAAATACTGAATGTAAAGAACAAAGAAAGCATATTGAAAATGGCAAGATAGAAGGGCCAGGTGACTTAGAGAGGCAGGCACATCAGAATAATTGCCAACTTTTTTTTTTTTTTAGATGGAATCTCACTATGTAGCCCTGGCTGGCCTGGAACTCACAGAGATCTGCCTGCCTCTGCCTCCCAAGTGCTGGTATTAAAGGAATGTGCCACCATGCCCAGCTCTGACTTTTTAATTTGAAACACTAAGGACAAGAAAGGCTTGGAATGATGTATTTCAAATTCTGAACGATTATAACTGCCAACCCATCCTAATACATCTAGTAAAACTTTCCAGATAAAAACAGACTAAAGGAGTTGATCACCAAGTCAGCCCTACAGAAAACACTGGAGAGAATACTTCAGATTGAAGAAAAAGATAAGCACAGTCAAGAAGCTAGCAGAGGAAAAACATAAACAATGCCAAGTTGCTCATTAAGCAAAAGAGGGCTAAGAAATCCCAAAACACTAAAACCAACAAAATAATGGGCATCAATACACTCCTTTCAATACTAACTCTGAACATTAATAGCCGCAATTCTCTCTGCTAGACACAGACTAGCAGATTGGATCAGAAAACAGAATCTTTTTGTTGACTGCAAGAAACACATCATCCCATCAAGGATAAACACTATATTAGGGTAGAAAGGACAGGTATGAAGGGGGCAAGGGGGAACATGGGGAGGGTTAATGGACAGGATGGGAGGGTAAGGCAGAGGAAAGGGTGGGGAGAAGGATAACTAACACTAAGGAGGTTTGGAAAAGCCTTATGGAAATCTATTTTGTAAGCTCACTAAAAAACACAATTTGAATGCAGGTATCCTACATGGAGGGATAATGCTCCTTCTAGAAGCCATAAGTTATTAAATAAAAATTCCAGAGCCAGGTGTGGGATAGCTCCCTTTGAGTTGTTGGTCAGAGGAGTCCCAGAGTATGCCCCCTGCCAAACAATACAGCATATTGCCATTGCTCTTAGTTTCCCACCAGAATTTCATGGTAAGACCCTATTGCTGAAGATACCACACACTTCTGTTCCAGGATATGGAGAAATCAAGTTGGTACCAAACTGGAAGTTTCCTCACTGATGGCTTGCTTTTATAATGCCAGAAGTTGCTATCCAGGGTGTTGGGGGAGAAATATCCATGAACAGTCTCACACAGTTGTGAACTCTGAGAGCTATAATAGTGACTGGCCTGGCAAGATATGTACACTTATGCAATCAGTGGCATGAGTTTTATGGGAGTAACCAATTGCTTTTTGATTGGATTTAAGGTCTGCTCTACAGGAGGGAACTTATGCCTGGTCCTGTAAGCCTAGCTCCTAACCTGTGGCTGGGGAGGTCACAAGCCCTAGAAGAGAATCTGCCACAATTATTATGTTCAGTGGACATAGTAACAAAGTGCCTTCTAAATACTTATCTCTATGCCTATAAATTAGTGCAGCTCTTGGCTCTCTTCAGAGTAGCTTCTTTTTGCAGTGGGTGGCAGCTAATAGAGACTCACAACTGGCCAAAGTTCAAAGAATAAGTGATTGTGAAGTGCTCAGCCCTAAATGGACATCTATATTATCCCCCCACGAGGTCCAGGAAACATCGCAGAAGAGGTGGTTCTTTTTTTTTTTTTAATTTTATTTATTTATTTTTCTTATGTGTATGTGTGTATTGCCTGCATGTAGGTAAGTGCACCTGTGTCCCACAATGCCTGTGGAGGTCAGAAGAGGCAGTTGGATCCCCTGGGACTGGAGTTATGGGCAGTTGTTAGCTGCCATGTGGGTGCTGGGATTCAAACCTGGGTCTTCTGCAAGAATAACCAGTGTTCTTAACTGCTGAGCCATCTCTCCAGCCCCAAGGTTGGGGGAGGACTGCTGTGAAGTAGTGTCTTCTGGACACAACAGGGCCATGCACTCATGAACTCACAGCAGCTGCATAAGACCTGAAGACCTGCATAGGATCAAGACAGCCAACATTCCAACACACATGGGAGAGAGGCACATGAGGCCCCACCCCTGGCTGAGGAGCTATTAGCATTTGATGGCTACTGGGAGAGGGAGTCATTTTTCTTCAGGGATGTGGCTCTCAGTAGGTTGCCTGGTGCTCTGGAGGGTGACTCCACACCCATGGTCATGCAGGCAGCACTAACTGGACTCAGTAAGTTAACAAAAAAGACATGAAGTTGGGACAGGGTCATGTGTGGGGTTTGGGAAGTGTTGGGGGGAATTGGGGGCTGGGACCAAATTCATTGTATATATCTATGAAATCCTCAAATAATTATGTATATCTACATGCACATATAAAACAAATGAATGTTCAGAAGAAAAAAATTATAATCTTTCATCACAAAAATAAATAACAACAAAATTAACTAGCGGGAACTGTAGTATTCTGGAAGAAATTCTGGTTTGAGTCTGTGCTGTCTGTCATTTAGTAACTGGACAACCCTGGACCAGGTACTAAAGGTTTGGTTTCAGTTTCCTTGTTTATGGAATAGCGACACTGCTCTTCTCTCCCAGTGGTGCTTCCATAAATCCCTTTGTGCTCTGCAAATACCCATAATTCTGGTCTACCAAAAAGCTACTGATGATGCCTTATAGTATCGAAATGTGGCTTGCCTTGACATCTTTAGTATGTGATGGTAACTCTGCATCACATACAGCTGGCTGATAGACCATTTGAATTTCCTTCTGGTCTCCAGTAATGTGCATTTTGCTCATCTAAGTTTTATACAGAAGGACAGGTAAGAGAAACCCAAAAAGATGAACTTTAAATTATCTGTTTTGTTTGTTTCCAGTTCCAGTGATGATTTTGGGGAAAAGAGCTGGCTAGTTAAAAGGATGGAAGTTCAGAGTTCAGATGAAGTGTGGGGATCAGAGCACTTGTGTGTGGTCTCCAACTGTCCACATTCGGTGGGGTCTAATACTATGAATAATCTAGTGTTTGTCTAAGACTGTCTTTAGATACAAATGCAGACAGGAAATGTGCACATAGGCACTATTCCGTGATGACATACCAATGACTTTAATTTCCTTACAATTAAAAAGTTTTGCAACCTCTCATGGACTTTGGCTGTGGGAGTGGTTTTAGATGTGGCAAAACTGTTTCTTTACCCATGTTCAACAAGCAAAAGAGTGATACTCTGTGATAATTCTTTGAGTATACTCATCATGGATTGTATCTGTATTTTGAACATCTGCACATACAGCTGATGCCTTCTTGAAGTGATGGAAAGTAAGAAATAGGAGTCCTCTTCTTAACCTCTCTCCTCTCTAATATTCACCTCAAAGTGCCATTTGTCCAGATTAAGCCACAGTCATAACTAAAGGCACATCAGGGAAGATCCCAAACAGAATAATTGGCGCCACATGTGGGATTCAATAGGGTTTACCTGGGCCATCACAGCCAGAATCCATCAGAAAGGCAGGGGAGGAAAACCCACTGAATACAAGGGAGAGTGCAAGATCTGAGGATAGTCCTGGACCTCTTTCCACCTTTCCTGGGAGAGTGATAGCAAATCAAAGTTCTTTAGAAAGAGGAAGAATGCTTGGTCCTTAGAATGGCATTACAAATAAGGCAACCAGATAATGCCTTGCCCTTTGCCAAAGCACCCTCTTCCCTTGTAAAACGAAGGGGTCATATTCAATGGAGACTTAACATCACTTCCATGTCATTTCCAAAGAACAGCAAGTGACTGTATCATTATTAAGACAACAAACTGCTATAAAGAGTTGAGTCTTAAGTGGCCCCCATCTCACATGTATTATGATTCTCCCCCTTCCTGTTCCTCAGGGATCAAAATCCAGACTCTACTGTATAGAAAGCACACGCCGAGTTAAAACCAAAGTACACATTTCTTGTAAACAATAAGCCAGTACCCATTAAAATGGGTGTGTAGTTAGATAAAATGTGGTCAGCTTTCCAGCTTGGAAGGCTATGCTGGAAGTCAAATAGAGCCCTGGGTGGGGCAACGCGGGAAATGGTGTGTGGAAAGAGAACGGTGGGCCCCAAAGAGAATGGAAAGGAAACGGCCGTTGCAGTCTTTTTAGGAGAGGGGGGCTGCCCTAAAAATTCAAAAGGATTTCCGTTTCAGAAAGTCCTACCTTTCCCTTGGCTGAAGTACAAATCTTTCTTCCGTTTGGGGTGGGTCATATCACCAGAGCTATATCACTCTGGAATCAGATTCCTCACTTTCAACACCCCACCCCCAGCCAATCTTACTGCTTCACTCCTTATTTTAGAGGCCCCCAGCCAAATGATGGCTCAAGGGACTGTATGAACCGCCTGGCATTATCATAGTTCCTGGCCTAAAGAACTTATCTGATTCCGGTTATTTGTAGATCAGAGTCAACAAGGAGCGGCGGTCAGGTTACAAGTCTCCAGAAGCCACTCGGGCTGCCTAAAAACAACTAGAGGTTTCCCCAGTAGGCAGGGGGTCGGCTGCTTGCACCCCTGGGGTAGGTTGGAGGCCGGAGCTTCACACCTTCCAGTCACCAGGCAATAACTACGCTGTGGACCTGACTCATTCCAGGGTCTCTGGGGTGTGCGGAGGATCCCCCGCCCCAGCGCCGAGGGGGCGCCCAACTGCTTGCGAGAAACCGGGGACCGCCGGAGCACTCCATCAGTCTTCCTCCATCCCAGACCTGCGCGCGCCTTTTAGTCTCAGTCCCCTTCCTGGAGGATCTCCAGCCCCACCCGTGCCTCCCTTCCCAAGTGGAGCCCGTCTGGGGCAGTGCCTCCCTTCCGGCCCGAGCCCCCTGCCCACATCAGGCATCTGACCTGCCGGAGCCTCAGAGGTGTGCACTGCTAGCGCTGGTCGCGAGTGCAGCGGTGGTGCCCAGCAGGTGCAAGCCTCCGAAGACCGCCACGCCCCACCCCGCCCCGGCCGCCCGCCGGGCAGCCCTTGATCACCCAACCCGGTCCTGGCCAAGGTAGGGCTTCAGGTCCCTGGCACTGCTCTTCTCTGCTCTCTTGACCCTTCCGTAGACAGCACCAGGCACTCTCTAAGGCGTGCGCTACCAGCAGCTGCAGGTTCCTGGCTTATCCAGGTGGATGGCCACCGACCAACCCAACCGTGACCTACTAGGCAAAGCAATCACTGGGGGTGGGGGTTGGGCGGGGAGATGGGGAACAATCCCAGAGATTGTGGCTCTGAACACTTCTCCAGCCAAGGAACCACAAAACACACCTGACAAGAGCCCAGCACTTGCTCTCCAACAAAGGAATTATCTGGTGGAACATGTATGACCCGAATCTAGTTTTTGTAGGAAATCTTGGTAGTCGACTTGAAGTGTCACATAGTTCTCCTCCCTCCCTCTCCCTCCCTTCCTGTCTCCCTCTCCCCCTTCATTCAATGTTATGTGCCCAACTGACAACAAATCTAAGAGATGGGCATGGTTGTAGAGGCAAAGTATGGGAAACGCTTCCTACTTTAGAATGCACGACTTTTTGTAGTATCTGAGATGATAGAAATCTTTGCAATTATCTTTGGAGCTCTTGTACCTAAGAGTCTGACCTGGTCCTGCCACCCTGCTTACTCCTCACCCCTTAAAGACACTAAGAGAACACCAGCACTGAGGCTCGTTTCGTATCTTCTGATATGAACCAGGGAGGAGTGTTGGCAGATGTACATATGAAAAGCAAGTGATGGGTGGAAGCAAGTCAGGGCTGAGCACCACAGATCTAGATCTCTGAGATGCTTTCTGGCACCTTAGGTGATATTTCTGTTCAGGTTGCTAAACAAGGTGAGAGCTTCATACAGAAGCACAGGCTTTCTCTTCAGGTGCCCAGAAGGCTTTCTCCCAGCCTTTGGCTCTGGTATGGTTCCACTATCCTTCCATAACACGGCCTCCCTCTAGTACCCTTCCCTCCAGGCTCCATTCACTCTGCTTTACAGAGAGAAGATTCACCTGGGCTAATTAGGCTTCTGGTCCAAAGTGCCTGCCTTTCTTTGACTTCATAGAGAAGAGAGGCTGTTTGTTTAAAAGAAGCAGCACTTCAGATCCCATGTGACAGAGAACAGCATTTTCCAGAGTGCCAGTCACCCAGGGTTCTACCCTATCCTCTGTTTCAAAATTCTATATCCTCAGCTTGGGGATTAGTACTTGGAGAAAAGTATCAGGCTTCATGCTGGCATTTGCTCACAGCTGTAGGTTTTGAAATTGAGGGAAGGGTGGAACCCTAGGTGACTGGCCCTCTGGGTGAGGCTGTTCTCTGTCACTGGATCCTTCCTGTGGAGTTACTGCTTACTAATATTTTGTTTTCCTCATAGGTTAATATCATGAAACAAATGTGTGACTTCTTAATTATATAGTTACTAAAGGAAAAAGATGACTTTTACTTATTTTTTAAAAATATTTTATTTATTATTTTATTTTATATGAGTGTGTTGCCTGCATGCATGTAAGTGCACTCTTGTTGTGCATTGCCCACAGAGGTCAAAAGAGGGCATCAGATTCCCCTGGAACTGGAGTTACAGATGGTTGTTAGCTGCCATGTGGGTATTGAATTCAGGACCTCTGCAAGAGCAATCCATGCTCTTAACCACTGAGCCATCTTTTCAGCCCCTTATTTATTTTTTAAAAATAGCAGAGGTAAGCGGATCTCTGTGAGTTCAAGGCCAGCTTGGTCTACATAGTGAGTTCCAGGACAGCTGGGGCTACAGGGAGACCCTGCTTCAAAAAGACAAAAAAAATTTATTTATTATTTTTATGTGTGTTGCCTGAATGTGTACAGGTGCACCCATGTTGTGCAGTGCCTGCAGAGGGCATCAGATTCCCCTGGAACTGGAGAAACAGATGATTATTAACTGCCTTGTAGGTACTGGGATTTGAACCCAGGTCCTCTGCAAGAGCAGCTAGTGCTCTTAACCATTGAACCATCACTCCAGCCCCTTTTGGTCTGCTTATTGAGACATGGTCTTATGTAGACCAAGCTGGTCTTGAACTTGCTATGTAGTCAAGGATGTCACTGAACTGATCTTCCTGCCCTTACCTCCTGAGTGCTAGAACTATAAGGCATGTATCACCATGCCTGGTTTATGTAGTTCTAGGGATTGAATGCAGGACTTGTGCATGTTAGGAAAGCAATCTACCATCTACCCTGCCAGTCAACCAGTCTTTTAGGTCCCATTTGACAACTCTGACAGATGGAAACATCCTCACCCAGAGATAATTCTTTTGTTGTGTTTGTGTGTATGCATGTTTACGTGTGTGTGAATGCATGTGCGTGTGTGTGCCTGTAGAGTTTAGAGGTTGATGTTGGGTGTATTTTCCTATCACTTTACACCTTATTTTTTTTGAGACAGGGTCTCTCACTGAACCTGGAGCTTGCTTACTGATTAATCTTGATTTTTCTGGCCAGCAAGTCCTGGGAAATCCTCTTTTTCTACCTCCCTGGCACTGGAACCACAGGTATATGTTGCTGCCCCCATGTCCTGTTTGTCAAATGGGTTCTGGAGATTTGTACTCAGTTTTTCATGCTTGTCCTGTATTTACTTTCCCTACTGAGCCATCTCTCTAGCTCTGAGATACTTTTTCATATTGAAGAATCAGAACTTGGAAAAGGATTTCTGCCTCAAATTATAGCATCCAGGTTTTAAAACCATGTTTTGTTTCTTAAACAATTATTTATTATTGGGGCTGGAGAGATGGCTCAGCAGTTTAAGAATACTGGTTGTTCTTGCGGAAAACCCAGGTTTGAATCCCAGCACCCACATGGCAGCTAACAACTGTCTGTAACTCCAGTTCTAGGGGATCCGATGGCCTCTTCTGTCTTCCACAGGCATTGCATGACACGGGTTCACTTACCTTGCATGTTTGTGTGTGTACACATGTGTGCAGTGCCTCTGGAGGGCAGAAGAGGGCATCTGATCTCTGGGACCTGGAGTTACAGGCAGTTCTAAGCCTTCATGTAGGTGCTGGGAATCAAATCCAAGGCCTCTGCAAGATCACTAGTGTTGTGATCCATCACTATCACTGCTGTGTCATAAGTGAAAGAAAGGAGGATGGACTCATTCTTTCCTTTAAGGGCATCTACCTGAAGCTGTCTGTTATTTCTAGCCTCAGCTCATTGGCCTGAACTTAGTTATCTAACCCTTCCTTGAGAAAAATCATACTTGTGAGTGGCCATATGCTCAGCTAATGGCATGATGACTGGATAACAAGCTACTTGTGATAAAAGCTTTTAAGATTATTTGTATTTTTTAAATGTGTATGCATGTGTGACTCTGTGTAGGTATGCTGGGGGTGCCCATGGAGACCAGAGGACAGCATTAGATCCCCTGGAGCTGAAGTTACAGGTGGTTCTGAACTGCTGGAAGTGGATGCTGGTAACCAAACTCAGGTTCTTTACAAGAGCAGTATGTGCATTTAACCACTGAACCATTTCTCCACCCCCAAGAGCCTCAAATCTTATTGCAGAATTGTTTATAAAAGCAAATGTGTCAATGTTGAAGTAAGCATATTATAGTATGACCTTTGTAATATATAATGTTTATTTCTATGATGTATTGTAGTACAGAAGAATGAATTAAATTTATATCTATTAACCAGGAAAATAGTTATGATGTATTGTTAAAATTAAAAAGTTGCAGGGTAGTGAGGGATTTTTGCTTTTCTTTATTATGGTAGAATATATATGACATAAAGTGTGTTCTTTATTTAAACTATTTTTAATTATAGCGTTTAGTGGCATTAAGCATATTCATGATGTCATGCAACCACAATCACTATCCATCTTCATAGTTTTTTCATTATCTGACTGCAAAACTCATCCATTAATCAGGAATTCCTCATTCCTGTCTCCCCAGACCCTAATAACCACCATTTTGCTTCCCAACTCTATGAATTTGGCTACTGGAGGCACCTTGTATAAATGGAACCATACAATATTTGTCTTTCTTTGTCTGATTTATTTCACTTGACATAATATTTTCAAATTTCATCCATGCTGTATCATATATCAGAATTTCATTCCTTTTGCTTGGTACTATTCTGTTGTATGTTAATTTATGCATTCATCTCATGGTGAAAGTTTGGATTCCTTCCACATTTTGGCTATTGTGAATAATGTTACTATGAACATGATTGTACAAATATCTTAGTCTCTGATTTCATTTTTTGTTAATATACCCACAATCAAATTCTCTCTCTCATTTCATTTTTTGTTAATATACCCACAATCAAATTCTCTCTCTCTCTCTTTCTCTCTCTCTCTCTCTCTCTCTCTCTCTCTCTCTCTCTGTCTCTCCTCTTCCCTCAGGCTGGCCTCAAACTCATATTCCTCCTACTTCCACTTCCTGAGTGCTGGATTTGCAGGTGTAGTCTACCATGAATGGTTTATGTGGTTCTGAGAATCGAACGCAGGCCTTTGTGCTAGGCAAACACTCTACCAACTGAGACATATCCCAAGTTCAATCTTTCTCCTTCCTTCCTTCCTTCCTTCCTTCCTTCCTTCCTTCCTTCCTTCCTTCTTTCTTTCTTTCTTTCTTTCTTTCTTTCTTTCTTCTTTCTCTCTCTCCATCCCTTCCACCTTTCCTTTCTTTCATTCTCCTGCTGGGGATTGAGACCAGGGCCTGCCTTACCATTGATCTACCATTGATCTACACTCCCCAGGCATAAATTTATTTACTAATATTTTATTCCTCAGGATGCTATTGTAAATGAGATTTAAAAATTTCTTTCATGTGGTTGGGGGCGGGGGATAGCTTAGTTGGTAAAGTGGTTACTTTACAAACACGAAGACCTGAGCTTGATCCTTAGAATCCACGAGTCTAGTGACACATATTTGTAATTTCAGCACAGGAGAGGCAGAGGTAGGAGGGTCCCTGGGGCTTGCTGGCCAGCCAGTCTAGTTTACCTGGTG